ATAAATTTGGATGACTATGGAGAAGACTATCCTTTTTGGCTGCCATTGCCCTCAAAAAGTTTTTGTTAAGTTGTCCAGTTTGGTATAAATGAAAATGTGAGTATTTAGAAAAGGCAACAAGTAATTCTACTTTATCTCACTTCCAGTTTATAAAATCAAGCTCAAATGACTCATATCTTTTAATCCAAAGTTTTCTAGAATAGATAATTCCTGTTATCTCGCTTGCTTAACACAAATTCTCACATAATAATTTTCCACTTATGTCTATTTGGTGTCTTAGACTGTTTTCTATGCATTTTCTATTATTTGCTAGTCAAAAGTACCTCATATTGGGAGCAATGAAGTCTGATAAAGAACAATTAGAGTCATATGTAGTTTCCTTCCCACATTTTAATTGGTGCATTATAGTCGTGCCTAATGGTGCGATTTCTTGTTATATATTTGTATATGCACCCAATATGATGATATAATTTGGCCACAATCACTCCCCAGCACTTTCCCCTCCCATAGTTTTCATCACACTGTAGTAAAAACTTGGCATTTTTGGTATTTTTGTTTATATCTGCCTCTTCCCATATTTACATATTTCATCCTTCTCTCTCATTTACCATCTGATAACATCTTTTTTTCTGGTCCACAATAAGCAATTAATAAATGGGTGCCTACTAAACAAATAAATGAAAAGTTGCAGGTAAATAAAGCATCTTAAACTTTCTAATATACAATAATATCATATGCTGTCTTGAACACTAAGTTTGTCAAACACCTTCCATGTGCTTTAAGGTTCACTTCCTCCATATAGTCATTATAAGGTTAAGCATCTCTAATCTGAAAATCTGAAATCCTTAATACTCTGAAATTTGAAACTTTTTGAGCATCATGTTAGTATTCAAAAAGCTTCAGATTTCAAAGCACTTTGGATTTCAGATTTTCAGATCAGGGATGCTCAACGGGTATGCAAATATTTAAAAATTCACAAAACTGCAACCTGAAAACATTGGATCCCAGTCATTTCAGATGATACACAACTTGTACTATCATCTGAAAACAGTTCTCATCTTTCAGCTACATTACATAAGCACTGTTCATTTTGTGTCCCTCACAGTGCCAGTCACGTGAAGGCAAACAACATATTTATTATAGTTCAGCTCTTCCAAGTTACATAGCAAATCATAATGCTCTATAGTAATAAAATGCTGAGGTCATTCACTTAATTTTTCTGTTGAGTTTTAAAGAGAAGGTAAGAGAAAAAAAATTTACCAAAGATGTTCTCAAAATGAGCATCAGTCTGACAATATTTCACTTTTAAAAACATCATTTTTGTACACTTCATGAATATAGTCATTATATAAAGAGAAGCACACTTGTATTAAGTGTCAGCCTTGGCCTAAAAGAAGCAATGAAGTTGCAGTGTTACACAGTTGGTTCTCTTGTTGCTCAGCAAGACCTAGGTAGGTTTCCAATTAGGACAAATATGGAAAACAAGAAATTAGAAGTGACTTTATCCAAGATTTTGATTGGTCATATTTGCTGCTCATAAACTCATTCAAGGGTTCTACTTTATAAACTTTTGAAGATAAATAGAAGAAAGAATGTTTCCTATCTAGGTTGTTGCAGTAATGAGCCATGTCTGCTTTTGTTATTTCAGAGTCCATTTCCAATTCAACTTTCTCTTGCTCCTGGAAGAAAAGTCATTTTTTTTGTCTTTCTAATTGAGAGTAAAAAAAATGCCCTAATGTGCTATAAGGAAACCATTACAGTTGATGCTAACCAAATATCATTTCATGTGCATGCAGTTTGCACAGTATCAAGTTTTATATTTGGGAAAATGGCAAGATTCTGGCTATGATTAAATCAAAATGTAAGAAAACCACCTCCCCAATTGGTGGAATTTTATTTTTTTTTAATTTATACATATATTTTAGTTGTTGATAGACCTTCATTTATGTTAGGGTGTGTAAACATATATGCAGTGCTGAGAATCGAACTCAGTGCCTCACACATGCCAGGCAAGTGCAATACCACTCAGCCCCAGCCCCAGCCCCGCGTTTTATTCTTTTTTTTTTTTAATATTTATTTTTAGGTGTAGATGGACACAACACAATGCCTTTATTTTTATGTGGTGCTGAGAATTGAACTCAGGTCCCACCAGTGCTAGGTGAGCACTCTACCACTGAGCCACAATGCCAGCCCTATTCTTAAGGTATAGACCAATTATTTCATTTCATAGCATCATCACACCTTCCCACATGTAGATGATCTGTGTAACTTCAGGTTTTGAAAGGGATTTTTAAAAAACATTTTTAGTTGTAGGTGGACACAATACCTTTATTTTGTTTATTTCTATATAGTGCTGAGAATTGAACCCAGTGCCTCACATGTGCTAGGCAAGCACTCTACCACAGAGCTACAACTCCAGCCCCTTTAAAAGGATTTTTATTTACAAACTTAAGAGCATAAAAAGTTAAAAAACCACATATTGGTCAAATAAAAAGTTTTTTTCTCAAAATTATCTGAATCTGTACTGGAAATGTTATATAATTTTCTCTATATACCAGGCTCATGATTAACATTAGTTGGAAAACAGGATAAGAATTAGATATGATATCTGAATTCTTCATGAGTTCTGCTGTCAACTCACAAATTAAATCTTAGTTGAAATCACTGATTCTTTGTGGTAAATTGAACTGATTTAAACTCACATGGTTATTGTTGGGCACACAAGTCCTCTGCAAATAATGGTTATACTTTGCTGCTTGGATTTTCATAAATCATTGCACTTGTAAGACTTTTTTAATACCTGTGAAGATGAACAACTATTTATTTTCAGTTGCTCAGCCAGTCTTGCTGCCTTAGAAATATCCTGGAACAGGTGAGGTTGTCTCAACTCCTATTCCAATTTCTTCCTTTTTGTCAAAATTCTTTGGTATTCAACATCAGCGTGTATGTCACACTTTTAATTTTAGAATCCAACATTCCTTACAACTGTTAAATTTTTATTTAGATATTAGAATCCCCTTTTTAGCTATTTAACAAAGCCTTGGCTTAATCCAGATGTAATACCTCTAAGCGTAAGTATTAAGAATGCTGAAGGTCATCTAATCCTTATAAGAAATATAAGATTTCTTAAGAAGAGAAATATTTCAGAAATTTAAAAGATGCTTTAGAAAGGAACTCAGCACCTTAATCTTATAGTTTTTAATGTCCTTGTTTCATACCCTGCTTCTTTAGAAGCATTTTGAACACTTTAAGTTGTCTTCTAGCTTATAATAGTAACCCAAATATATTCACCCAACTTGTTTTTTGTAGAATATATATATGTACAAAGCCTTAATTCATATTGATACGCAGGAAATACACATAACCTTTTAAAAACAAGGAGAAGCATCTTTGTTCTTCAGGAAGAATTCCTAACCCCTTCCCAAGCCATACATGATGTGTCAGGAAGCTCCATCCTTGCATGAAAACTTCCAAGGAATTCCTATAACTTGCAAATATATGCAAGAGTCCTGGTAAGGACTCTTGGATAGTGACTAAAAAGTGACAACCACAAGTCAAACTTGAGCTGTTTTACTTAGATAATTTACACATAAATTCTCTAGTTAGCCTATTTTATTTGGTTATTCTAGCACCAAGGTTTTTGCTCGTTTTAGGTGGTTTTTTTTGTTTGATGCAGTACTGGGAATTGAACCCAAGGGTCTCACACATGCTAGGCAAGCACTCTACCACTGAACTACATTACTAGCCCTATTTGGTTACCTGAAAGTCCAAATTAACATAACCACCGTTATTTCACATATAACTACTGCCATTAAAAAAACATACTTTCTTGCGGAGTTATACCTTGGGGCTCATTTGCATTCACATGCCACATGTCTATCATGTTTTTCATCACATTTATGCTGCAAGTCATATTAAGTATTAAAAACAGTAATTCACATATTTTATTATAAAAGTGTGCTTTATTATAAGGAAAATTTAAATATAACCAACAATACTGAAAATAACATAACTGGCATTTATAGCCTTGGTCAAAGTTCTTTATTAAACAGGCATTATTTACTGTTCCATGAATAGTTAACAATCAGCTTATTCGACAAAAGAGATAAATGGAAAAAGTGAATAAAGAATACAGAATGATGAACCAGAAATTTTCTTTTTTTGCTTGTTTAACAGACATGGCTTTTAAAATAAAGTCTTAAATAGACAACAAGTCATCTTCATATAGCAAGCTCCCTTTCCCTACAAGGTTTTGCAAAAGTGTTAAAACAATATTCTGAAATGTGGCTGATGTTATAAGTTACATACTTTAACTTCTTATATATACATTATCCAATTAAAATTCTTACCATGTTTTCATATACAAGTAGGACCATAAACATCCTCTAGTAGGACAATAGCCCCACAATAATTTTACCCATGTAGGTATATATTCTTTTGATACATGTTTCCCAAAATGTGAATACTGGTTAGAGTTAATGTTTTTAGACACTGGATCATGGAACCTAAAAATAATATAAGATTATATTGCTTTGGTTGAATATAATTAGGTTTTATATGTCAGAATAAAAGCATATCAGTGATCAATGAAAATCTGGTAAGTTTATGAGTAGACATTAACACAAATGGCAAGGCCTGATGTTATATATGGTATGAACAAAAACTCCTTTTTTGTTATATGTGGTTTTGCTTACAAATTTTATACCTACTAAGAGAGGTTTTAAGGGAAAAAAAAGGCAAACCTCACTGGCTGCCGATCAATACGATTGTGTGTTGTCAACCATCACAAGGAAGAACAGAAATGTGTGAAGGCAGATATATGCAAAGGACCATATCGTGTAGGTCAAGTGAAGAAGAAAGAAATGTACTGTGGGCATGTATATAAGGTTCTCAACATATTTTTGGTATAGGACTAAGGTTTTTCTTTTAATTATAAGATCTTAGGCTTTTAGAAGATAAAAGTCAGATTTAACAAGTTTAAATAGCTTTTTTTTAAAAAAAAAAACAAAAAACTTTGTGACACATCAAAATCAAACTCTTTAAAGTAAAAAATACAGGAAGTTGCAAAATGAAAAAGGGAAACAAAGATACATGTTAGATGAGGGAAAACTGCATTAATGATTGCTCACCTTAGAAAGACTCTTTTCCCTATTATAATAACTAAATTGCCATTCCTTAAAACCACTGGAATATGTAGGTTACTGACATTATGCCAAAGAAGTCAAAATGTATTTTATTGCAAAAATATATAGTTTTAAAATTGCATATGATGTTTTATACCATTTCACCAATAGGCCAAGGCCAACACATAACTTATCAAGCCAAAAAAAATTTAAAGTGAAAATGATTAAATTTTACTGTATAATGAGTTATAAAAAGAATGTGATGCCATGCTGGTTGCATGATTCATTGCCAAGTTCTCTCTTACAGGGGCATAGTCACTAACTTGATATCAATCTGAATAAATCAAACACATTGCCTATGATAGTATCTTTTAATTATCTTCTCAAACATGGATACTTTCAATATATTACAATCATTATAATAAAACTTTAAGTCAAATAATTTTGAGGAGTAGAAAGTCATTTTATCAATGTTGTTTTAATGAACTACTAATTAGAAAGTGATGTTAAAGCCTATTGACTATTAAATCACTACTATTTACCAATACATTGTAAATGTAAAAAAAGGAAAAACCTGAAATCACAGAAAATGCTTGGCATCTACACAAACACATTCTCAGTGGACTAACCACTACTGTGTAATTTTGTCACTATAGGTCTTCTTGCTTCATACTTTGCTTCATGCAGTGGGTTCAACAATATCCATGTTTGTTCCAAACAGGGCAACTAATTGTTCTTCATAGGTGGCGATGTTCCTTTTCATTATTTCCATGCAAGGTCCCAGAAGCCTTTCAAATGCTTGCACGTCCATGGCTAAGAAAAGAAAAGAAAAAATGAAAAACAACACTCTTTGCAAAGCTGTGGAATTTCCAAGTTGATATAATATCCATTCCATTATTCTATTCCATTATATTGCAACTGTGAATGATACAAGTGTAAGTGTTAAGCAATACTGTCAAATGAAGAAAAACCATGAAGATTAAAATTCTGTTTCAAAAAGGAAGCAGCCAGGGTCCTCTCTAGCTACACTGTTGGATTTCTCAGCAGATAATATGCAATGCTAGGTTGGTGTGAGGTTTCTGGTCTAGGCCAGGAAAACAATGAGAGAGTGTCATGGGAGGCCCTGCAATTTTAAAAAATGTTGATGTTGCTACCTTAGTAATATGAACACCTTCAAAAGTGGCAAAGGAATACTTCCTAGTCTTGTCTAAGGGTTTACAATGCCATGTTGTGAAGAACAAAAGTTACCTAAGTTTTTACTCTTATACCATTGTCTATATAATCCAAAATGGCAGCCAACATAATGCTTTTGTTTACTTCTATAAATATATCCTATATCACTTTTCTTGCCTGTCTCATGCACTTTAGAGCTGAATTTACAATAAACAGATGAAAAATATCATACTTTCCATCACAGAAATACAAATTAAAATGTCTTTGCCTTTCAAATTTGAAAAAGTAAAAAAGGCAGAGTTTATAAGAATGGGGTGAATGCAATGCTAGTAGCATATAAATTAGTAAAACTAAAAGTGATCTATATCAAGCCATTTTTTAAAGAACACTTCTGAGAATAATTTCTTAGGAAAATTTCTAGATATGGAAAAGCCATCTATGTACACACATATACACAAAAACTTAGAGCTAAAACCCATAAAATATTTGCCAGTAAGGAGTGACTGAATGATTTATCATGTATATATTTACCTAACTGAATGCTAAGATTTGATGTAATGATAAAATTCCCAAGCTATAATGGATGAACAAAGCAGTTTACAAAATTGTTTTTAAACAGAAACCCCATGCAAATAAAAAGATAAAAAAAGAATTATAATAATAGAAATCACTGAGTGGTGATGGTATAGTGGGTGATTCTGTGATTATTACTTTTCCCTGCATTTCTGATAATACTCAGATTTTTTTAAATAAAAAATTAAAAGAATTTCACTCATATCACCTTTACTCTTACTAATAGCTCTACTCTGCAAAATTGCCTGTGTCTACTTGTCTTCTCTTTCATCCAATATATTACCTGATTAATATACTTATTTAAAGCTTTTTAAAAAGTTCCTCTCTAAGAAGTTAATTCTGTAGAGCCCTGCAAATCTTAAAAACACAGAAACTAACTTTATCCTATTGAACTGTGGATAAAGAGCACAGAGAGGCTAATTACTGTGGAATCAATTTTCTAAAGTGCCATCTTTGTTGCTGCTTCCTGAATTATATTTTCCTATTACTATGGTAATTGATTTCTCAGATATAAAACCTCAGATACATACAAACATCTTCCAGCTGAGGATGGTATTTCTGCCAAGATCCTCTGATAGAAGAAAGGAATAAACAGCTGAACAACAGAATGTTGATACACTTTGATAAACCTAAACTCTGGCATCCCTGTGCTTCGATGAGTATGTGTTTTCACAGATATTCCAACTTACCTTGCAGAGCCTAATAATGAACTTTACAAAATTATTATTTTAGCTTTTTCTCCTAAAGAACATAGCATATGTTATTTGATGGGTTAGATGTAAAACTTGGCACTTGCAAGTTTTTCTTTCAATGATTAAAATAAGGTGTTTTTTCATACATACACAAAAGAATGAAATATATTTACATGTGAAAATTTTCAAAGAAAAAAAAATGGCTTCCATAAATTGATTTTACAATGCAGTGCTAACTCTTACATTTTGTGGGGACCCCACAACATTTTTGAACCAAATGATTTAAACAACATGAATACATAAAATGCAGACATAATTTCAATGCTCACTATTGTGATTCCTACCTAAGCATTTGACAGTCCCAATGGCGTGTGCAGAAGCTGCTCGAGGTTTGTTAGTTACCAGGGCGAGCTCTCCAAAGTACTGCCCCCGAGAACATCGAGCGATCTCTACTGCACCATTCTCTTCCACTTCTGATTTACCCTGACAAGGAATTAAAAATATTAACTTTTGATCAGCTTATGAAAATAAAACTTAAACTTAGGCTCAGTATCAAAAAGAAAACATGTTCCTTGCTAATACGTGAATTTTTAGGACAGAATATTTACCTTTCTTTTCATAGTAATTTTCACTTCTCCAGATTCTACAATGAAAAAGGAATCAGCCAAATCTCCCTATCAGAATAAAACAAAAAGAGGATGAAAATGCAAATTTGACGATTCTGAAATCATACCCGTGAAATCAATCCAATCCCAGTATATAGCTATTTGCCTGAAAAGTGAAACTCCCCAGGAACCGGCCATTTCATTTTCTAAATCAAGAGGTTATAATTGATAATTATATAGTAACAGTTTCCTTTGTAAAGCTATTTGAAAGAACATACTCTCTACCACAGCATTTCTGCTAACAGCTAAGAAAATATGGCAAATAACAGGTAAGAGTCTCCTCCAAATTTCAGCCTGGAAAACAGCATACAGAGTTAGAAATGGCAACACTGCTGCATGTCCCACCTGCAGCATCCCCTCACTCTACAGGAATATGTCAGCTCATCTTGTGATCATTGGGAAGTGCTAGGATGTGCACCGTGCCCTCCTATTTCTCCTGGCAGAAATAAAGCAGACAGTACCTAAAGCACCCAGGTGCATTAGGAAGCAGTCCCTATGGCTTTTGTGTTTTTACAGCAGTTAAGGACCGTGCTGAGATGCCAGTCTACTGACATTGAGGTTTTGAAAAGACTACTAAAATTCTAAAAAGTGATGCTGTTTCTCATTACATACACATTTTTTCTTGTTTCTGTTTCTGAATCAACAGTGTCTTAATTTCTAATGACACTTTCTGAGTAAAACAGAACACTATGTAAAATAATATTTTATTTTTTACTTAGCTTTTCAAAGTGACCCTAGGGAAACAGGTATTTAAAATAAAATGTTGAATCTATATTTCTATAATGTAGTACATATATATATTATATATAATGTCTATAAATGCTTATATAGTTATTTAAACTCTAAGTATAGCATATCTCCTGCCCCCCCTTGTTTTGCGCTTGGGATTGAATTCAAGACCTTGTGCATGCTAAGCACACACTCTACCTGAGCTACACCCTAATTTTTAAGTGTTATGAATAACAGGTCTCTTGATTGCTGTGTAAATATGCTCCAAATGTATGTGGTGAAACTGATGAAATCTGAATAAACTCTGGATTATGCCAATGGCAATCTCCTGTTTTGATATTGTACAATAATGATGCAAGATGCATTGGGAAAAAATAGGTGAAGAGTACATGGGACCTCTCAGTGCTATTTTTCTAACTTCTTGTGAATATTTCAAAATAAACTAAAAAAGGAGCATGTAAGGTGCTGGCTCAGTGGTAGAATTTGTGCTTAGCATGAACAAATTCAGTCCCTATCACCAAAAAAATATATACAAATAAATAAAATAAAAATAAGCATTTTAAAAATGCCCTATATTTTAATTACCAATTTACATAGCTGAAACTTAGTCTTGTTCTCCAATTTGACTCCACTTCTTCCCAATCCTTAACTGTGTAATCTGCATAGTGTGTGTATACCCACACACAGATTTTGAGAGATTCACTTATTTGCCTTATAAACAATGATATTCTTCCTCAGTCTCGGACCTAGAACCTTGTTTCACATTTAAAGGAAGAGACAATAATTCAGATAAAGAGCACAGTGCTGTATAGTGCAATGAATCAAAAAGGCCACTTAAATCATTTGCTCAATGCTTCAGAAATGTAACTAAGAAATAAGGCAACACTGTAAGTATGTTTTACCTATGAACTTAAACTGTCTTCATAAATCCTGCTTTTTAGTAGCCCTAGCAAAGTGAAGTATGCAATGCTATTGGTTCCAACCAGGATCTTAGAAAAGCACTAGGGGTTAAAGAACGTGTTTATTTAAACATTTAGTGCTTGGAAGCCAGTACAGATTATGGTGCAATGTGTCCCCTTCTTGGTGACTGTTATCTAAAAGCAGCTGCAGGAGGTTTCATCATGAACTGGATCATGTAAAACTCCACAATATCTCCCAAAGGACTTCTGGGTTCTTACTAATCTCAGGGAGCACTCACCTTTTCCTCTTATAAATTTAATCTTATTCCCTATATGCATGTGAAATTTCATGTCACACATTATAAAACTGCAGAAAGCCATTTGACAGTTTAATACATATTCATTAAAGGATACAAGATGGTGGGCTAGAGGAAAGCTGCATTCCTAGTTGCTCTGAAGCTTGGGTTTCAAGCGGCAGGAGTACTGCTTCTCAGTGAGTAAGTGAACAACATTGGACAGTCAGAGTGTCTTAGAGACTTAGAAATTTGAGTACCTTTGGACTGGGGCTGGGGCTCAGTGGCAGAGTGCTTGCCTTGCATGTGTAAAACCCTGGGTTCAATCCTCAGCACCACATAACAATAAATAAATAAAGTCACTGTGTCCAACTATAAATAAATAAATAAGAATTTGAGTGACTTAAAGAAGAAAGACTATACTAGAGCCAAACTAGCTGTGTCAGTGTTGGTTCAACACAGAAGGAGGAGTAACACAGAAACACAATGGATAGCTTTAGTACGGAAAAACCTGACATCAGAAAAGTAGCCTGCCCTTAGCTGATCTAGGGACTGCACTGTACACTGGTGCTTGGAAAGTGCCCCATGTGCCGAGAGCTGAGGGGGGAGCCATCTTGATGTGGCCACGCTGAGACTGCTGCTGCTGCAGGAGCTGGGAGATCTGGACAAAGTTGACTACACTGTCCTGGCAAGCACCTTCCCCATAGCCTAGGGTTTGCCTATCAGATTGGGAGCAAAACAAAGAGATTGTTTTACCCTGGGGGGCTTTTACCCAACTCGCTTCCCCCTTTGAGTCTGTAGGCTCATGTGAACAACTGAAGCAGTCAGGAATCTGAACAGGTAGTGTGAATACACCCAGGGACTACGCCTAGGAAGCCCGGAAAGACTGGGTGAACAACAGAGGGGGTGAAGGTCTGACTCCCCCAGTCCATGAGTAGAATCCTTGAGAGGCTCACTAGATCCCGACTCCCAGCTGTGATCAGCAACTGCCAGGCCCCATGGGTGTGTTGATCTAATTTCTCCAGATTAGTCACCACCCAACAAAGCCCCTGAGTCCTAGACCTAAACTAAGCCCCACCTGCAGGAACTCCACTCACAGAACTCTGCAGTGGCCCCACCCTGGGAGTACTCCTATCTGGTCTGTACAGACAAATCTCCCAGCGACAGTACTTCCTATCCCATCCTACCTCATTCTAGGGAGAAGAGAAACAGAATTATTTGAGCCAGCTTCAGTCTTAAGCAAATCCAAGTGGCAGCTTGTTGAGAACACAAAACGAAGGATTTAACAACCCCCAGCCCTTGTTCTCACTCGCAGAACACAACCCAAGATAGACAGTATCCATCTGTTCTTAGTTGACTACTTTGACCTCGTCAGTGGAAATGATTAAGTTTTCATTGATAATCTTTTTTTGTTTTGTTTTGTGTTTGCTGTGTTGATTGGTTCATGGATACATATACATATTTGTTTCTTTTTTGTTCACTTATAGCATTTAAAAATTTTTTAAATTTTATTTTTAAAATTTTCCTTTGCTTTGTCTTTTGAGGTTTATGTTTTTTGATTAGTATATTTTGATTTGGTTTTGTATTGTTTTTCATTTGTGTATTTCTTGTTTCTCTTTTCTGCTAACAGCCAAATTCTATTATTATTTTTAATTCTCCCTTTATTATTTCTATTTTTCTCCTTATAACAATCACATGCTACATCTCTAATGCATTAATTTTTTGAAATTATGAGCTCTTTTCTATCCCTATCACATCTTCTTTTATCTAAATTAATTGTATTTTTACCTTTTTTTGGTACTAGGGATTGAACTCAGGGGCACTCAACCACTGAGTCACATCCCCAGCCCTATTTTGTATTGTATTTACAGACAGGGTCTCACTGAGTTGCTTAGTGCCTCACTTTCGCTGAGGCTAGCTTTGAACTCGAGATCCTCCTGTCTCTACCTCCCAAGCTGCTGGTATTATAGACATATTTTTTACCACCTTTAAGCTTATAGAACTCTTGCCCTAGTTATTAATGCTGTTTCAGTTATTGTGTATGACATATTTGACACCCGTTGTTTACCTTAATAGCAAACATAGTTCAGGGTTACTTACTATTTTTGCTGTTGGCAATTGCTGACCCTACCATTTCTGGTTTTTGTAGCAATTAACATTGTAGTTGTCATAGTAGGAACCAAGTATTTAGCTTAATGCTGTATATTCTTTGTATTGGTTGTTGCTATTGTTTGAATTCCTCCTTTCTTTGAGGTGCTGGGAACCTTTAGGGGCACTACAGGTTCACAGGACAGAAACTCTGCTGTTAAACTAAACTTAACCAAAAGATACCACACCTTGCTCCAAGCACAAATTAATGACACTCGATCTTCAGCTATACTTTAATACAAAGAATAGAAGAGACAAAAAACCAGACTCACAACCAGGCCCCAAGTAGAAAACTGAGGGACATCCATTACTATAGCAAAACCAGAAAGAAATAACACAAATGATGTGGACACCTATAAGGGGGGTCTTAATCAGGATCACTCTAGGACACTTTGGCAAACGAAGACTTGTGCCCTAAAAAGGTCTATACATAATAATGGAAGAGAAATCCCTTCCAAAAGATGCAAAAGAGGTTTAAAACCCAACAAATGAATACAAGAAATATGAAAAAGCAAGTTAACAGTACCTCCTAAAGTTCATAATTCACCAGCAAACAACCCCCAAAATATTGAATGAAGGAAATATCAGACAAGGATTTCAAAAAAAATCATTATAAAAATATTCAATGAATTCCAAGAAAATGTAGAAAAAAACAACTGAATGAATTAAAGAAGTCAGTATAGAATATAAAGAAATTCAGTAAAGAGACAGAAATGTAAAAAAAGAACCAAACAGAAATCTTGGAAATGAAAAACACAATAAATCAAATAAAATATTCACTTGAAAGTCTCTCTAATAGAATAGGCCATGCTGAAGACAGGATCTCAGCACTGTAAGACAAAGTGGCCAGCCTTACTCATTCAGACAGTATTAAAGAAAAAGAAAATTAACCATGATCAAAACACAAAAACTCTGGGACAACATGAAGAGACCAAATTTAAGAGTCATTGGATTTGAAGAGGGATGTGAAATATGACCTAATGGAATGGATAAACTCTTCAGGGAAATAAGAGAAAATTTTCCAAACCTTCAGAATGAGATGGACATCCAGATACAGGAGGCATTCAGAACCCCAAGTAGACAAGATCAAAAAAGAACCTCTCCGTAACACTTTATAATTAAAATGCCTAACATACAGAACAAGGATATAATTTTAAAAGCCTCAAGAGAAAAACATCAAGTCACATTTAGAGGCAAGCCAATTAGAATTACTTCTGATTTCTCAGCACAAACTCTACAAGCCAGGAGGGCTTAGAATAATCTGTTCAAAGTCCTGAAAGAAAATAACTGTTAACTAAGACTACTATATCCAGCCAAATTATCATTCAAAATTGAATATGAAATAAAAACCTTCCAAGATAAGCATAAACTAAAAGAATTCATGACTACTAAACAGATATTACTTAAAGAAATACTGCACACAGAAGATATTAAAAAACTTCAAAGCTCACAAGAGAACAAATTTCATTTGAAGAATAGCTAAGCAAATGAGAAACAGGACCAAATTAAAGATTATCAATATTCAAAATGACAGGAATTAATAAACAACATTGAATGTAAATGCTTTCAACTCTCCAACTAAAAGACATAGGCTGGCAAAGTGAATTAAAAAGACCAACATATATGTTATTTGCAAGTAACAGGCAAAGAAAACCACAGGCTAAAAGTGCAAAGATGGAAATTGATATACCATGCAAATGGAACCAGAAAATACACAGGAGTAGCCACTCTTACATCAGACAAAGAAGATTTCACACCAAAATTAATCAGAAGAGACAAAGAAGGTCACTTCATATCAGTAAAGGGAACAATCCAACAATAAGATATAATAGTAATAAACATTTATGCCCCAAACATGGGTGCAATTATTTGCATAAAAGAGACAGTACTCAAATTGAAGCGCCAGATAGACCTCAGTACAATAATTCTGGATGATTTCAACACACTTCTGTCATCATTAGATGGGTCATTCAGACATAAACTCAGTAAAAACTCTTTAGACATGAACTAATATAAGTCAAATGGACATCTATAGACTATTTCATCCATCAAGAGCTGAATACACTTTCTACTCAGCAGGTCAGGGAACCTTCTCCAAAATACACAATATTTTAGGCCACAAAGCAACTTTTAGCAAATACAAAAAAAATAATATAATTCCTTGCATCTTATTGGATCATAATGGAATGAAATTAGAAATGAGCACAACCAAACCCTATAGAAACTATATAAACACATAGAGATTGAATACTCTTTAAGATGAATGGGTGATAGGAGAAATTTAAAAATGTTTAGGCTCAAATAAGATACAACATAGTGATACAATAGATCAGAACCTCTGGGACACTATGAAGATAATTCTAAAAATCAACAGCTTTCATATATGCCAACAATAAATCTGCTGAGAAATAAAGAAGGAAAACAATTCCATTCACAAAAGTCTCAATAAAAATAAAATACCTATAAATAAGAATGCAAACAATAATAAATGCTGGAGAGAATGTGGAGAAAAAAGACCATTTTTATACTGTGGTATACCTTGAAGTTGGTATTTCCACTATGAAAATCAGTACAGAGATTCCTGAAAAGACTAGGCATGGAACCACCAAATGACCCAGCTATACCTCTCCTCTGTATTTATCCTGGAGAATTAAAGTCATAGTACAATGATACATGCATACCCATTTTTATAGCAGCACAATTCACATAGCCAAACTATGGAATCAGCCTAAGTGTCACATCAACAGATGAAAGGATAAAGAAAATGAGGTATATACACACAATGGAGTTTTATTCAGCCATATATAAAAATAAAATTATGGTATTTTCAAGAAAATGGATGGAACTAGGGCCCATCATGTGAAGTGAAATAAGTCAAACTCAGAAGGTTAAGAGTCATATGTCTTCTTTCATATGTAGAAGCTAGAGAGGGAAAAGGAAAACAAAGGTAGGGATGGATTTTCTATAAATCAAAGGGAGATTGATAGAGGAAAAGGAACCAAGGGGTGGGAAGTGAGGAGTGGGGATGACTAGTGCTGGGGAGTAATACTGGCCAAATTATATTGTTATAGTGTGTACATGTACAAATATGTAACAATAAATTCCCTGAGTATGTACAATCATTAAAAAATGTGGAAAAAATAAAGAAAAAAAGAAGTTAATTATATAAACAAGATATTCAAATAGATTAATGGCTGTAGATTAAACCAATTTTTTTAAAAATATATTTTTTAGTTATAGATGGACACAATACCTTTATTTATTTGTTTATTTTTATGTGGTGCTGGGGATCAGACCCAGTGCCTCACGCATGCTAAGCAAGCGCTCTACCCCTGAGCCACAACCCCAACCCCAATTAAGCCACTTTTAACAGGTCATTTAGTACAAATAATATTCATGTAATATAATATAAAATAATATTCATTTGCATACATTACTGCTTATTAATTTTAGTGACAAAGTTTGTCAAGATTTATAAATGTATAAAAACCTTTTGGAATATAACCCCAAAATGAATTACACTTAAAAAATACATACCTGAGCAATGATTTGTTCACCATCATTGTACACTTTGGTGCCTATCACATCTACCACTTTCAGGCGTTCAGAAACCTATAAAGAAAAAAAGGTAGTTACTAAGTAGAAAAAGACTAATTGGGTAATCTGACCTATTTTACATCTTAAAAAGTAGCATCCTAGAGGCTAAGTGAGCAGTGTGTAGATTACATGATGACATGTTTGTTATATTAGCTGGTAGCATTTAAAAATAAATTTTGTATTTCTAGCTTCTCTTGAGAAATCAGAAGACTCAGGAACTCTCAGCCCATATTTTCGTATGGCAGTAATAAAACTATGATGGAACAGCAGTTGTTACTTTAGATGGAGTACATGTTCTCTCTAGCTTGTCACCATCCCTTCCCTTTTTGTTACTTGCCTAGCTCGGAAGGTGCTGGATTGGCATCCCTTCTACTTCTATTTAAGGAGATGTGCTGCTGGAGAAGATCAGCTGTCTAACATGCATTATGAAAGGTGGCCAAGATTCTACCAGGAACAAACCAGCCATCTAACTTTAGAAAGGAAAAGCACTATTGTGTTGATATTTGCCATTTTATAAGACTCTGTGGGTACATACATGTTCCCCTCTTTCATTAATCTCAAACTATTTCAAATATGAGAGTAGGATATCTAGAAAAATACTGAGCTTAGCAAAGAAGTATGTAAAGTAAGCTCTCATGGTTTCTGGAAAATTTTTACCATTCAAGATAAAAACAGCTGATGAAGGAGATGAGGGAACAAGCCGTGGGGCTGTGCAAAAGGACATCCAGACAGATAGCTGGTGCACAGGACCTGAAGCCAGTGAGAGTCAGCATGCTAGAGGAACAGCGTGAAGCTATATGATAAGAAGCATGGAGCAGTAAGAAATGGGGCCAGGGATACAGGGCTGGGCCACAGGGTCTTAGAGGCCTATGAGAAGGGTCTTAAACAGAGGTCTGTTAGGATCTAGGTTTTAAAAAGATTATGCTGGCAGCTGATATAAACCAGGCAAACGGTGATGATGAATCAGACAGAAGGTAATAATGGTGAAGTTGGTGGGAAACAGATGCTGGATAAATTCTGAAGATAGGGATGATCAGGTTACTGACTGGACATGGGTGGGGAAAACGGCTGAGTTTACTGGAAGGATTTTATTGCCATTGATGAAGATAAGGAACAGAAAGGAGGAGATCTGGGACACATTAGGTTTGAGATGATAAGCGGTTGGCGATAATGTCAATTTTAGGAGGTATCAGCCTACAGACAATATTTAAAGTCATGGATTTTGACATGTGCACCAAGCCTAAATACAGAAGAGACCAAAGACAGAGGCCTGGAAAGCTAATTGTAAAAAGGAAGGAGAAAAGAAAGAAACAGCAAAGGTGACTATAGGGAGAAACTGATAGGGAGAAGAGATAACTCTTCCCTGTAAGGTAAAACTAGTGGCTCTTACTGGTATTTATATGATTATTAAGTCTGTTCTTAAACAATACATATAAATATGCTACAGGAGCCAAATGCAGTTATAGGTGGTAAAAGGATGAGTTATAAAAACTCAACAGTCTTTTTTTTCTTTATTCAAAGAAATGTTTGCGTAGAACTAATTATTCCTAATAAAATAAACTTTTAAAGCAGAATAAAAGCATAAATACACTCACCTCCAAAGATTTAAGGAATGGCAGTGACTCAATAAAGCTTTCATACATTTTTCTCTTTTTGGCATTGTTTTTCACAATTATTCTCCTGAAGGTTACCCTGTCCTGAAGACAGAATATCAAATACAAAGAAGTTAAAATGTAGGTTTTTTGGAGGGTGGTGTAGTACTGGGGACTGAAGCCAGGGATACTCTATCACTGAATTACATGCCCAGCCCTTTTCCATTTTAAGATAGGGACTCGATAAATTGCTGAAGGTCTCACTAAATTGTTGAGGCTGGCCTCAAACCTGCAATCCTCCTGCCTCAGTCTCTGGAATCATAGGATTACAGGCATGTGCCACCATGTCTGACTTAAAATGTAGATTTTATGGAGGAAAAAAAATCTGAATAAATAGTTTTTTTTTCCCCGTACTGGAAATTGAACCCGGGGGTGCTTAACCATTAAGCTACATCTCTAGCCCTTTTTTATATTTTATTCAGATTACATATATTATTGGGATTACAGATATGCATCAGCGTGCACAGCTGAATAAATAGTTCTATTCCCCATACAGAATAAACAGTAATTGAAGATTTCAAAATAAAAGGCTAACAACATCATTTTTACTTTAATTTAACTCATTTCATATTTTTATTTCTTCAGGCACAAAATTAACATAGAACCATATAAAATATCTTCATTTTTTTTAAAAGGTTTACTTTTGTTCCTCCATCTAACATGTTGTGCTATACACCACAAGGTGGCACTATGAAACTATCTTAAAAATATATACTAACATGTTCTTTTCCTGTGGATGGCAACCTTAGAGGATTGCAAAATCAGGACATGACAAGAATTTTTATTAAAAAAATTAAGTAGGACAGAAAATCGTGGAGTACATTCTTTGTAGTAAAGTATTTTTTTGTTAATTATCTCAATCATACACAGACACAAATATCCTGGTTTTGATGTTCCTATTGTAGACTAAAGTAAAAACCATATGGAAAACAATAGAACAAAATTTTAATCATAAAGAAATTACAAAGTCAGAGATTTTGAAAAGTTATATACTCTAGGTTAATTTTCACATCCACGTTATGATGGAGTTTCTTTAAATGTAAAGGCTCAGAGAAACTACATTTTCTTGAAGAAGATCTAATTCTAGAGCTTATCATGTTTTATCTAATTTATACTACATGATAAAGTATAAAGTCCTATCATTTATATTTATACTACATGATCTCAAGCATTTTAGTAAAATTAAAACTGAAATAGAAGTATTAAGGCTGAATTTAAATGTTCTAGTGTGACAGAGAAAAATTCTAGTATGTACTGAAAGTCTTTAGGTGTGATGGACTGAAATGTTTGTGTGCCCAAAATTCATAACCCCCATTGCCCAATCAAAGTTCCTCCGTTTTTCTCATGCCTCTTGTTTTATGTTTTATTGGTTCTTTTTAGTTATACATGACAATAGAGTTCATGTTGACATAATTATAAAACCACAGAATATAATTTCTTCTAATTCAGTCCCCAGTACTTCCCCTTCCTTCCTCCCACCTGTTGCCTTTCCTCTACTTACTCTATTGATCTTTCTGCTATTTACTTAGGTTTTTTTTTTTTTTTTTAATTACTACTCTATGGATATATGATGGTGAGATTCACTATGGTATATTCACATATGAACATAGGAAATTTAAGTCAGTTTTGTTCTACTGTATTTCCCTATCCCATCTCTCCTCCCTTCCCTTCATTCCCCTTTGTCTGCTCCACTGATTTTTCTTCTATTACCCACACCACACCTCCCACTTATTTTGGATTAGTTTCTGCTTATCAGATAAAACATTCTACCTTTGACTTTTTAGGACTGGCTTACTTCACTTAGCATGTAGTCTCCAGTTCGATTCATTTACCAGCAAATGCCTTAAGGTCATTCTTCTTTAAGGTTGAGTAATACTCCATTGTGTATGTATACCACATTTTCTTTACCTATTAATCTGTTCAAGGGCACCTAGGTTGGCTCCATAGCTTGGCTATTGTGAATTGTGTTGCTATAAACATTGATGAGGCTGTGTTACTATAGTACACTGATTTTAATCTTTTGGGTATATACCAAGGAGTGAGATAGCTGACTCATATGGTGGTTCCATTCCTAGTTTTTGGAAAAACCTCTCTACTGCTTTCCAGACTGGCTGCACCAGTTTGCAGTCCCACCAACAAGATATCAGTGTACCCTTTTCCCCCACATCCTCACTAACATTTATTGTTATTTGTATTCTTGATAACTGCCTTTCTGACTGGAGTGAGATGAACTCTCATCTCAGTGTTGTTTTAGTTGCATTTTTCTAATTGCTAAAGATGTGGAACATTTTTTCATATGTTTGTTGGGTCAAGAGGATTTTTTAAAATTACCCTAGGTAATTCTGATGTGTAGCCAGATGAGAAGCACATGTACACGTATTTTTGCTCTACACAGCTGCTCTTTTTTAAAAAAAAAAATATTTTTTTAGTTGTTCATGGACCTTTATATGCAGTGCTAAGAATTGAACTCAGTGCCTCACACACGCTAGGCAAGTGCTCTACCACTGAGCTACAACCCTAGCCTTATTTATATAGCTGCTTTTAAATAAAAGGTATATCCATCAATGGATCCCAAGAGAATCAATTTCTAGTGGTTTTTGTGTGTGTGTGTGTGTGTTTTTTTTTTTTTTTTTTTTTTTTTAGACTAGAGCATTCACCAATCACCTAGAGAACTTACTCAAATAGTTTGCTGGGCCCCATCTCCAGAGTTGCAATTCAAAATCAACAGGTGGGGCCCTTGAATGTGCATTTCTAACAAGTTCCAGATGACACAGATGCCACCATCCAGGGAGCACACTTTGAGAACCACTAATTTATTGGATCATATACCTCAGAGAGCAATCTGAGAAAAAGCACTGGAGACTGTGTGCCTGGTTGTTTTTTTAAGAGTAGATAAGAGAGGAGCATTTCAAATGAGTGTCCCAGGGCCGACAGATCCCAAGTTCCTGACTCGACGGGAGGAGTGGGGAAAAGGACATGAAATTCTGATTTAGCACTTCGTCCCAGTGCCCAATAGTTCAGCATCCAGCTTAATAAACTGCTTAATAAGGTGCTTTAAAAAAATTAAACATAAATAAAATCTGATTGAAAATGCATCCTAGGGGCTGAGGTGTTGCTCAATGGTATGTGGGAGGCCTTGAGTTCAATTCCTAGGTCAGGAAGGAACAAAGAACCTGCATCCTTTAGTGAGACAACAGAACTGTCTTTTCTCCCCTAATGGGCTCATACGAACATGATTTGCTGCTAGAATGAGACAGGTTTAGTTAACATCAATGCAATCTTGTTTTTACTGTCCTTTTTAATTTTTTTTTTAATGCTAAGTATTGAAAAAGCTGTTCACATAAACAGTAGAATGAGTTGAGTAGAACGAGTTGTTACAGCAAAACACACAATGTAACAATTCTTACAAATAGTAATTTTCAGGTCAAACAACTGTTTTACTCACCAAACCCCACAGAGCACCAGGAGAGGTAGCAGTGATTGTAGCTGCTCTGGGTGTATTGTACATTAAGGCCAGTTCGCCGAAACTCCCACGATTATCGTAGTTACCAACACATCTTCCCACTCCATCGCATTTTACATAAATATCAAATGTTCCTCTGTTGGACATATGTAAATTAGAGATAAAAATAATTCAAGTAAAATCCCACTACAGTAAGACATTATTTCAGAGAAGAACCCTGTGCAATAAAACTTTACTTCTGTCCTGTCTAGCCCGTCTGGAGACAAATAAAAAAGGGGGATCGATATGTTTATCAATACAAAGAGACCATCAACTAGACAAGGGTAGGGGCCACATATGTGCCTCTTGGGAAAAACGGGACTAACCAATAAAAATTTAAGAGAATAAATGATAATAATATATGACTACAACCATATAGTAGATGCCTAGAAAATCACCTACAGGAACAAATACCAAGTTGACTATTACTCATCTCAGACCAAAGAACTGTGAAGGACTTCCAGGATGACCCAATGAACATGTATTACTTTTGTCATTAGAAGAAAATGACTATTAAAAAAAATACATCTATAGTAATTTAGTTATCCACTACTCTATAGAACTTACAGAAGAGGCCTTTACAATCTATAGCAGGGGTCAGTCCACAGACTGGCTGCCTGCTTTTGTAAATAGTACTATTGGAACATAAATATATTTGTTCCTTTATGCTTGATTTATGGCTGATTTGACTACAACAGCAGATCTGAACAGTTACAAAGATCATAGTCGCCCTCAAAGCTTCAAAAATTTACTCTCTGGCCCCTCTACACAGTATGTCCCTTTATTTCAGACCAAACCCCCCCCCCCCAAACTAAAAAGCAATAAAAATCATTCTAAATGTCTGATTCTAGACTTTTACATGATTTTTCCATTCCTTTTTTCTTTGGTGATGGTGGGTTACTGGGGATTGAACCCAGGAATGCTTTACCACTGAGCTATATCCCCAGCTCTTTTTACTTTTTATTTTAAGACAAGGTCTCACTAAGTTGATGAGGTTAGCCCCAAACTTGTAATCCTCCTGCCTCAACCTCCTGACTCACTGGGATTACAGGCATGTACCACCATGGGACCATACTACAAATTATCCAGGCCCAGTATTATATAAACTATCCATCATATGGTGACTGTCATTCCATGATAAATGTCATTCCATTTATCAGAGAGAATGTCATTTCAAGACTTGCTCAAGCACTTGTGAGGACACACAAGAGAAATACTTTGGCTTTATTTTGTTGTTTATTTTGGTGGAGATATGTGTGTGTGTGTGTGTGTGTGTGTGTATGCTTTTAATATTAGAAAAAGATTATGAATGATAAGTAAATAAAAGCAGAAACATAAGACAATAGATATTATTGTAGGAATAATAAGGAAGAAAGCAAGTGATGTTTAATATATTTCATGGACAGAATGACTATTTTAAGGATACTTTCTAGAATTTATTCTATGGATAATTATTTTCCAAGTATAGATCAAACTCTTCTACTTATTTTATTTATGCTTTTCCACTGAAACTGTTTTCTACATTTACCACTTTGAATAGGATAAAACATACAACGTGCTAATGAGAAGTAAAACAAGCTACCAATGCAGTTGAAATCACATCAATCTAATGTCTGTTTAAAAAAAAAAACTATGGGTTGCTTTTCACGTGGTCTCCTTCCTGAGAGTCCAGGAGAGAGGTCTATGGGGTTGCCTCCACATTGACCATCTGGGCACTATCACTTCCATGGGCCTGAATGTTTCATCACTCAATGGATGATTACTATCTAATTGAAGAAAGAGCATACTATTGTCAAATATAAGACAGTTTTTATAGTAAAAAATATTCATTAAAAAAAGACTAATATCATCATGTTTGGGTTCCCATATTCCCCTACATTAAACACAGTTGAATGAATTTTTAAGCTACTCATTGATAATAGCTGGTAATAATAACAGAAATCATGACTTTGATTTACATATGGGATAACTGGTTTTGTTCTATTCCAAAATCTTGGCTAGTGTTTTGGAAATAAGTCACCCAGGCATCAGGTATAAGGGAATGGAGAAATGCGTGGAAACCTTGATTCAAACAGCACGCACAATTCATGTATAAAAGACGCCACCCACAGAGCCCAGGTTGGGAAATGAGGCCTGAGGAGACAGAAGAAAGACAGACTTCTCAGCTGAATATAACTTTACCCAGAGAAGCAGATGTAATCCAGCAAATCGGCTGGGAGATGATCTGTGTTCCATGCAAAACTGGAGAGCTTAGGGACACCAACTATCACATGAACACTTTGTCATCACTTTACAAAAGTGAAGAAATGAGGACTCAGCCCAGACTGCTCCCGTTAAGCTTCCATTCTCATTTGTTTCATGAATAAGGCACACTGTTCTTTGATGAAGTAAAACTCAAGTTTTCTGCATTCAATTTTCAAATGTGTGCACACTCATTTTAATAAAACAATTTCTCTAAAGTTTTTTATAGACAAATATAATAAGGCACAAATAATTTCTGGAAGTACACACAAACTTTGCACTGTATTGAATAAATATACTGAAGCAACTGGAAGAAAAGACCAGCTTTTAACTTTATGCCTTCAAAATATCTGAATTCCTTCAACCATGAGGATGTTTTACTTTTATAGCTAATAAAATAACTTGTAAAAATATTAATTTGTATTTTACTTCTATCTCACTATAATAGTCATCTACTACATACTATTACATACTATCTTCCAAATGCAAGCAAGCAAATGAGGAAGCTCACATTAAAGACTAAGATTTAGGGATTAACCAAATATCATCAGTTCCTCTATAAACCAAGCTTCTTTTCAGGATCCAGTGTGGTTTCAATGCAGGTACAGGTTTACTATGCCTAATATGTACTAATAACAATAAAGAAGCAATAGCAACTATCATATATTAACTTTTCAGTTGTCATAATAACTGCTGGGATTCTACACAAAAAGTTCTTTAAATTTCAGTAGTGAATTAGATAAAACTTACCTATCAATTACATAAAAGTTGTCACCATCATCGCCTTGATCAATAACATGCTCCCCTTCTTTGACCAACTTTTCAAACATGGCATCTAATACTTGAGACATCTGCTCCTATTTTTTTAAAAAAATAAGATATAATCTTTATATTTATCAAGAATGTTTTCATAAGTGACCACAATTACCTTTATATCTGTGAATGATCTCAAAGAAGTAGAAATATCAACATTGCCATTAAGTCTTACCAGAAAAATGCACTCACTATATAGTTTTCTGTATTGCATACAAATGATTATACAATCTCAGATTCAATTTTGAATAAAGTTAATTATAATTAGTCTATTTCAGAATATTTGCAAATGTCACCATTTTAAAATAAAAAATAAATCACCATATATGTTGTGAAAATTAAATTTTAGCAACTAAAATGACCAGTTTGGTAAAGAATTCTTTCAAAGATACCTGTTTTTAAAACTTCCTAGAATTAGACCTTCACTAGAATTTATGTCAAAATTACCCAAACACTTGATGAACTTAGATCCTCATCCCAATCCTTCTTTTCATTTTAGCATCAAAAGCAAAATAGAAACAAAACAAATATTCCATTACTATTCTTTATCATTAAGCAACCATATACCTCACCAGGGCAGATCTATCAGAAATATCAAACTGTTACTCAACAACTACTTAAACTATATAAAATTTTTATCCTGCTCAAGTGTGATTGACAAGAATTAAAGATAAACTTCAACAAATGAGAATAAACTTGGAGGTGAAAGAAATCCTTCCTCAGAACACATACAGGAACAATTAAGACATCTGAACAGACAGAGCAAATAGATGTGGAGGAGAACATGGTACAACAGTAACATCAGGAGCCCGGAGGTGTATGTGTTTTACCACTTCTAAGTTCTAAGTTCTTGGCCAAGTCACTCTGTGAGTACACAAAAGCTGTGTATCACTTACTGCCCAGGTCCAAATCAGTTATTATTACAACCAAATTAAAGAGCTAATATGAGATTAGGATTGCAAATGAAAAGAGTTTGAAAAAAAAACACAACATTTTGGATCAAGAGGATAACAAGTCACATGTGATTCTCCTCCTTTTGAGTCTCCATTCCAATTTTATAGGGGATGTCAAAATTTGAATCTATAACAGTACAGAGTATGGGAAGGGCACTTGATGGGTGAGAATTCCGGTGCAAAGACGGTGAGTTAGATGTGGCAGAGGGAGCTGTCCAGAGCAGTACAGATGGGCTGCGGTGTGGAAGGACCAATGTGCCTACCCAACACCCAGAAAGGTCCCAAGTAGGAAAGCCCTAGTTCTATCAGGATGGGACTGAAACACAAAGCTGAAAACAAGTGCAATGGTTAGGGCCCTACAAGGATCGATTTATATCTTCCTTCAAAATCCACCTACTCCGAACACAGAATGCCTAGCAGTCAAGTGTTGACCCAACCCTTCCCAGACAAGAAAACAAATTAAAACTAGAACAGATTATGTGAACACTGGTGCCCTAGCACCAAGGTCCTCACTTGCTGGGATTGAGGGGTTCCTAGTGTAACAGCAGGCTCCACAGAAGCGCAGCCCGCACAGCATACTGACTGACAGGCCTGCCCTGCTTACCAGAGTCCCCTCTCTGTTGCCCCTCTGGCAGCCTACAAGACTAACAAACAGCAAAAGAGGACCACATGGGGTGGCTATTTCAAGAATAGTAGAGAGCATTTAGAAAGTTCTGCTTGTATATCTAGATATTATATCCATGAGATTTTTTTAAAAAAGGTATTTAGAAAAAGAGCAAAAAGTGTATCTTGGAAATGTAAAACATGATTGCCAATCCCCTCCCCCCATATTAGACTTTTTAGAGCAGTTTTAGGTTCACAGGCACAATGAACAGACATCCCATACATATACCCACTGCCCATATACCTCCCCAGCCTCCCCATTAACAACATCCCCCACCAGAGTGGCAATTTTTACAGTTTGATGAACCTATATTGACATATCCTCATAACCCAAAGTCCACAGTTTACATTAGGGTGTATTCTCGCTGTTGCGTATTCTAAGTTGGGACCAAAAAATGTATAATGACACACATCCACCATTGCAGTATCACACAGAATAGTTTCATGGCCCTAAAATACTTGGTACCTCACCTACGAATCCCTCTCTCCCCCTGACTAATGGCAAACTGACCCTTTTACTGTCTCCATAGTTTTTCCCTTTCCAGAATGTCATATAATACTGGGAGCACAGAGCAGGTAGGTCGTCTTTTCAGGTTGCCTTCTTTTACTCAATAATATGCACATAAGGTTCCTCCATGTCTTTTCATGGCTTAATAGCTCATTTCTTTTTAGTGGAAAATAACATTCCATTGACTGGATATACTGCAGCTTTTTTTATCCATTCATCTGCTAACAGATATCTTGGTCACTTCCGAGTTTTGGTAATTATGAATAAAGCTGCTACAAACATCTACACACAGATTGTCACATCGGTGTTTTCAACTTCTCTATGTAGAAACCAAGGAGTTTCTTCTGAGTTTGTTTTTTTTTATAAGAGCCACAGCACATTTATTTTCACCTATATACAGTATTCAACTATGTGAATATACAGAAATAATTGCCATTTATCTTTCTAAAAAGTGATAATAGGGGTGGTACTTGATTTTCTTTTGCTTTCCTGGGATGAACAGTTCTACTTTAAATATACCTTTACACATCTCAGTGTTGTACACAACAGCAAATAATTGATAACAATTGGAATTTTGCATAGAACAAATACATTGTAACTTGGTGCAGACAATGCCAATGTGTTTTCCTAATGCTTGCTATATGAGCTACTTGATCTTTTTTTTTATAATTGTTTTGTTTTTAATTTTTTAAATTTGTTTTAATTAGTTATATATTTTGGTAGATTACATTTATGTACTTTGATATATCATACACAGATGGGATAAAATTTCTCATTTTTCTGAGTGTAAATGTTGCAGAATCATATTGGTCATGCAGTTACATATATACACAGTAATAATGTTTGTTTCACTCTACTATCTTTCCTATCCCCACATCCCTTTCCCTCCCCCATCACTTACCTCTACCTAATCTAAGGTAACGCTATTCTTCCCTAGTACCCCTGGCCTTATTTTGAATTAGCATCTGCATATTAGAGGAAACATTCAGCCTTTGGTTTTGTGGGATTGGCTTATTTCTCTTAGCATGATATTCTCCAACTCCAACCATTTACTGGCAAATTCCATAATTGTACTCTTCTTTAAAGCTGAGTAATATTCCATTGAGTATATATACCACATTTTCTTTATCCATTTATCTATTGAGGGACACCCAGGTTGGTTCACATAGTCTAGCTATTGTGAATTGAGCTGCTATAAACATTGATGTGGCTGCATCACTGTAGCATTCTGATTTTAAGTCCTTTGGGTATAAACCAAGGACTGGAATAGCTGGGTCAAATGATGGTTCCATTCCCAATTTTCTGAGGCATCTCCTTACTGCTTTCCATAGTGGATGCACTAATTTGCAGTTCCAGTTCCACCAGCAATGCATGAGTGTACCTTTTTCACCACATCCTCGTCAACATTTATCGTTGCCTGGATTCTTGATGATTGCTATTCTTTGACAGGAGTTTCTTTACCACATCCACCTCCCATAAAGCATTAATCTCTAGGATATATAAAGAACTCAAAAAACTTAACACACACACACACACACACACACACAAAATAACCCAATCAGTAAACAATAAATGGGCTATGGAACTGAATAGACACTTCACAGAAGAAATACAATTAATCAACAAATATATGAAAAAGTGTTCAACATCTCTAGCAATTAGAGAAATGCAAATCAAAACTACTCTAATATTTCTTCTGGGTTTTTGATGAAAATAGTTTTGTAAGATACTAACAAAGTATCTTCTGAAGTGTCCGTAGCATCTTACATTCCTACTAACAACAAATGAGAGTTCCTGTAGCTCCACATCTTCACCACCTATTGTTGGTGTCAGTGTTTTGAATATTGGCCATTCCGATAGGTAATGGTATCTCATTGTTGCTTTAATTTGCATTTCCCTGACGACATATGAGACACATCTTTTCATATGCTCACTGGTCATTTGTTCATCATCTTTGATGAGGTGACTGTTAAGGCCTTTGGTCCATTTTTGAATCAGGTTATTTTCTTACTCTTAAATTTTAAGAGTTTTTTATATATTTTGAGAGAACACTCTTTTATCATATGTATCTCCTGAAAATATTTTCTTCCAGTCTGTGCTTTTCCTTTCGTTCTGTTGACAGTGTCTTTTGCAGCACAGAAATTTCTGGATTTCATCCAGCTTTTTAATTCTTTCATATATTGTGCCTCTAATATTGTATGTAAATAAAAAGTCATCATCACTCCTAGATCATCTAGATTTTCTCCTGCATTACTACCTAGGAGTTTTAAACCTTGAACATTTTTAGGTCTCTGATCCATTCTGAGTTCTTTTTTTTTTTTTTTTTTTGAGGGGTGTAAGTTATGTGTATAGATTCCTTTTTCTTTGCAAGTATAGTCATTCCAGGACACAAAAATTAAAAATAAAAATAAAAAGACTATCTTTGCTCCATTACACTGCCTTTGCTCCTTTGTCAAAGATCAGTTAACATATGTGGAGATGTTTGGAGGCTATTTTGTTCCATTGGTCAATTTATGCATTCCTTTGCCAATATCACACTGTCTTGATTATCATAGCTTTACCCTAAGTCTTGAAGTCAGTATAAGTCTTCTTTGTCCTTCTATATTGTATTTGCTATTTTGGGTCTTTAATCTCTCCAAATGTATCTATTTGGAGTATAAACTTAGAATCAATTTGTCAATATCTATGAAATAACTTGCTGAAATTTTTACTGGAATTGTATTGAATCCACAAATTGAATTGAGAAGACTCTACATCTTGACAATATTGAGTCTTCCTATCCATGAACATGGAATATCTCTCCATTTTATTCAGTTCTTTGTATTTTTTTAATGATCAGAGTATTATAGTTTTCCTCATGTAGACTGGATACATATTTCTGTTAAATTTATCTTTTGTTTTGGGGTGTGTGTGAATGTAA